TGATTGCAATAAAAGCTATCCTCGACATATGCCAAATGGAATGAAATACCATTTATATGCTAAATATATTTTCCTAACCTTTTTTAATCCAGGTTAACTGTTTACTAGAAGGTGCAATTTTCCCATGACCATCTTTAGATAATTTAGAAGGATCTGACTGACGGCCTCCATATAGGATAAACCGACCAAGGTCAGTCTGTTCTTGCTCACTAAACATTTTTCCATCGACGTAAAGATGGGTCTGGGGGAAGACACTGCGAGAGACAGTAACAGAAACCTGACGATTACAACAAACTTTCATATCAACATAAGTAAAACTAAATGGCGCATCCATTTTTGTCATATACTGCTGTTCATATCGTGCATCATGTGATAACTGACTAGTTCTAAAATCAAGAATATTTAAGCAAGTATCATTATTATTGAATGTTTTAGGTTTCGATTGAAACCCAATGAATGTGGGGTCCTCTGTGTAAATATCGGCTGATTCATATTTATAAGTAATTGGATTATGCGAAAGGAGATTAGGTATTTTAGTATACCCATAAGGATTGCGCTCGGCATCATCACATTGTTCTGGATTTTTGGTCAGATTTTCTTTATTACGGTAATCAGGATCACGGGGATTAGCAGTGACAAGTTTACCTTTAGCATCACACTTAATGTTAAAGCTGGGAATATGGATGTATCCCCTGTATTCTTTTTTTCTGCCCATTTATCAAAGTCACCACCTATGCCATTCATGTCGGAAAAGGAGGTGGGTGGATCATCATTTGCTGACAATTTTAATGCTCCACAGGCTAACTTTCTTAGGGCATAACCTTCCACTACATCATTCAACTGTTTGTCACAATAATCAAAAAAATCCGGATTATTCTTGATGTAAGAAATGGTAAGAACGTCTGGTGTTTGAAAGGTTACTGTGATTCCTCCTAACATGTCTCGAAGCAAGAAGGTAACCAAGATGATGATAACTTTGCCAAGCATGACAGCTTTTAGATGGTTATACTGTAACAGTAAGACCAAAGAACAAAAAAGCTTAACGCGAATTTATCGATTTATTTATTTGGTTTATTTGCAATGTTATGAATTTGTTTAAATAAAAACAAGTGTTATATTTGATAAAAATTTTTATTTCTCCCGAGTATTTAACAGAAAGGCATGTACACAAGAAATCATATATAATCGATATATCTATCCTCTTGT